CCTCCACTATTCCTCCATTTGAGAGGGGAACAGGGTCTCCTGGTAGACCAGGGGCCTGTGTGGGGGCCCTGATCCGCTCAGCTCAGTTCTATGCCTTTGCATCATAAGTCCACTGGTCTGCCTGTGTGCAGTTCCCCCCCCTCCCCCACTTCATGCATAGGCCCTGGTGGGAGCTCTGGGTTGATGTAGGGTGACAGGGCAAGAATTCTGACATCCACAGATTCTTGACAGTTTATACAACTCATGACATCAGTGATGACTTCAGTGAAGGCTCCCTACTATGCATCTTGCCAAGTGGCAGGGTCCTCTTCCCTGTCCCCAGGCTGTGAGGTAGAGGTCACAGGCACAGGGGCTGGACTGAGCCCTTTGTGGAGGCCAGATGCCTTTATTGCCCTCCAGGCAGCAGGGGCTGGACACCGCATGTCCCAAACCCAGAGCTAAGTAGTCTCTGGACATACAGAGGTAAGAGGCATGTGGACCTTTTGTTTCAGTTACAGTTTCAAGAGCCTCCTCATCAGGCAGCATAAAAAATTTCAGGCTTGGTATAGAGTGGGGAGGTAGCCCCTGAGGGAGGATTTGGTGAGTTCCCTTCTAGAGACCACGGAAGGCAACCTCCTTATTAAATATCTCAGTCTCTCCTCCCCTCAGAATTGTGCTGCGGCTCCCACTTCCCCCAGTCCAAGCCTCCCAGTAGCCCGCAATACCCACACCAGTTGGTCCACCCGGACTGCCCCTCCTGCCACTCTCCCACTTGCTCCCTGAACTTCAGCCTCTTCATACTCAAACACGTCAAGCCCAGATCTTCCTCAGGGCTTTTGCACTAGCTGTCCTCTCTGCTCAGAATGCTCTCTCCCAAGATGTCCTGCTGGCTGGCTCAGAAAGAAGGCTATGTTCAGATGCCACCTCCTCATGGAGATCTCCCTGAACACCCCATCGATTTATTCCCTCACCCTGCCATATTTTTTTTCATATTTATTTTGTAAACAATAATATTAATGGAGCCACTTTAAAATGGAGTCACTTTAAAATGGAGGCAGAGCTGCCATGCCAGAGGACCTGCCCTGCATGTCTTATGCCTCAAGCTTTGGAAGGTTAAAAAGAGGGCAAAATAACCTTTGGACTGGGCCTAAGCAACCTGTTTCCCAAAGAACTGTTTGCAAAGATAACAAGAAAGCAGTTATGATGACTATTGAACTGAAAATTAAAAACAGTGTTTAGAATTAACATCATTATATTATCTGCTCTAATAGAAATGCCTTTCTTCTACTGATGTAATCGTTCCCTTTCCCTTTCTCATAAATACTCATTGCCTTTGTCTCCTAATCAGAACATTATTTGGGCTTCTGCCTGAATCAGTGCTTCCTCAATAGCTATATTCTTACTGATCTCAATAAAGGCTTGTTGCCTCTTACTTTGAAAGGCCCTTTCATTTTTAGGTTAGCAATTTATGTACATTCTTGTTCACTGACCACCACCCTTGCTAGACTGGGAGCTCTTCTAGGTCCAGGATGAGTCCATCTTGCTCAGAGCCTGGCACGAAGGGGTTCATGACAGAGGAACTAGCAAGCACAGGGAAGGTGTCCTCTAGCCCCCGAGGACAAGCCCAGAACTAGGGCAGTGGGGCCCAGGGAACCGGGCCTGCCAACTGTGCCAAGGTTTGGGCTGGGGTGGGGGTAGGGCTGCAGTTCTATTTACTCCGGGCATCAGTCCTGGGACGGCTCTCCAGGAGCAAGGCAAACCCCTCATTGTACTGACTATGGACTGTGTGTTCAGAGAAGGAAAGCAAGGAAGCAACCAGCTCAAGGCCACATAGCAAGCAGTGCCAAAGCTGGGAACTGAGAGACCATGTGGTCGAGGTCTCCCAGACATCAGGTAGCCTTGCTCTATGTCTGAGGGCAGGGCTTTCTTTGGAGCTGCAGACTTCAGCATAGCAATCCCAGGAACTAAGATAAAGAGTATTTCCCTGTTCCATTTTTTAAGCCTGTCTGGTAACTCTGGCCCAGGGAAGGAGGAAGGGGCCAGCAAGTGGCTTCCACCATCAGCTTTATCTCAGGCTGTATCCTTGGCTGCTTTGTGGGCAGGGGTGATGACGGAGCAAGCAGGGCTGGTGTCATCTCTTCTCTTAGCAGAGTCTTAACAGTATCCGGCTAAGCCTCTATCTGATGCATGGACCCCTTCCCAGCCACACCTCCACCAGGGGCTGCAGCCTCTGCTGGCACACCTCCCCTGGTGGGGAGCTCATTCCCATTGAGAGGTGATTCCTGGAGAGATCAGAGATTCTTCTTGTCTTGGTTCTACTTCCCGAGGCCTGTGACATGAGGGCCTGATGTGTAAACTCCGGCTTGCTCTAAATACCCTTTTCTTTGCCTCTTATGAAAGCCGTTGTGTATTCTTTTGGAAACTGGGTGGATGGGTCAACATATACATCAGCTGTGCTATGTTTATCATAGCTTGTTTATCCTCATTCCTAGGGCAGTCAGGTTCTCCTGGAAGTTGCAAAGCCTCCACCAGGTCCAGCCCTGCCCAAGGCCTCCCAGACAGTGAGGGAGAGCCTGGTGAGTCCAGAAACTCAGGAGTCCTGCCCCACTCCCCACCCCCAGCCCAGACTCTGACCGCCTTGAGTGCAGTACCTGCTAAGCCCAGTTTAGCTGCATCCACTCCCTTCAGGCTTGTAGAAGCCGTGGGCTGCTCTATTCCTGTCCTGGGCCTGCCCTGTCATGGGTCTTGGGTGAGGAGGCTTGGGAGGCAGCAGCAGCTGTGATCTCTGGTTGAAAATGCACCAGCCCAGGAAGTTCTTTCCTTTCCGGATCCCAAACCTACCATGCTTCCCCAATGCCTCGGGATCCAGGGAAAGGAGACCCAGCATGGATTCTCTACAGCAGAACCTTGTCTGGATTGTTCTCTACAGGGCTTGGCACATGGTAGTGGAGCTATAGCAGGACTGATAGACCTGGGCCTGCCCTGGCAGATGTGAGGACATCAGACACAACAGAAGCAAACTCACAGATGCTTTAAGAAGTGCTTCCTACTTTTTTTCATTATCATTCCCTAAGGAGAAACATCTAATTAAATGAATGAGTTAATTAAATTATTTAAATTAATTAAACTTAATTACAATTATTTAAATTTAATTTCTTCTCAATGACAGATACAATACTAAGGAATAAGATTTTGATGTGTAGTGCCAGAAATTATTGTACTATCTAACTTTTTTCACTCCCTCAAGAAGCAACTTTTTCCTCTCTTGAACATAATGGTGCAGAAAATTATAACCTGCATTCAGTGCTTTGAAAGAAAGGGGGCACATGAGAGTGAGATCTTTACTTGGAG